TTATCTAGTCACTTCATAGTCACCTAACTGCTGCAATATAGCCATGTTATCTAGTCACTTCACAGTCACCTAACTGCTACAATATAGCCATGTTATCTAGTCACTTCATAGTCACCTAACTGCTACAATATAGCCATGTTATCTAGTCACTTCATAGTCACCTAACTGCTACAATATAGCCATGTTATTTAGTCTTTTCACAGTCAGCTGTTAGTGCTGCACAGTGAACTTATATCAGGTTTCATTCTGCTCTTGTTGTTTTATGGATCATCCTTCCTGCCTTACAAGGTAACACATAAAAGTTATTGTTTAGATAGAGTTTTTTCTTCATTAACTTGTAACTCATAGGACTTCATTTTGGACTATTGTTTATTACTCCTTGACATGTACATGTACAATATATTGTTTAGAACTGGTTCATTACTCCTTAGCTTCTACAACTTAGACTATAATGTTTAATCATAGTTACATACTCCTTAACGTATACCACTTTCTATGTTATATTTAATAATAGTTCATCTCTTAGGTGTCGATGGTTGGTCATATTCACTTATTCCTTACCATGTAAACATAGACGTTAATTTTTAGTTACAGTTATTTGCTCTTTCAATTGTAACACTCTGTTCTTGATACTTCCTTCCGGTTTCTTCTTCCTTAATATGTCCAAACAGAAGGTAATGTTTACATCTCATTCATTATTTCTTCACATGTACTCTTGGTAGGTAATGCTTAATCTTAATTGAATATACCTTGCCATGTATATATACCTATTCCTGTTTGATTCTAGTTACTTTTTCTTTAACATGTATACCTAGAAGATAATCTTTAGTTCTTGTTCATTACTTCTTCATTTGTAACATGGAAGATAATGCTTAGTCTTGGTTAATTATTCCTTGCCATGTAAACATCCTTGTTATGGTTTGGTTCTAGTTTTTACTCCTTGATGTATCTATTTAGGAGATTTTTTTTTGGAATTGTTTATTACTCATTAGCATGTCACTCATTGAGGCTAATGTTTTGATGTAGTTCAATCATTACTTTCATGTACACCTAGGAGATAAAGTTTACACATAGTTAATTCCTCCTTATTATGTCCTACTTTGAATATCATGTTTGGTCGGGATTCGTTGATCCTTTCTGTATACACGCCAAGTATCGTTATCTTTGTTTTCACTGCAGTGCTCTCCTCCTACGACTGGTGTGGGCCCTTAGTGAATGACAGTTGAGATGTTCAGGATACTTTTTGCATGTGCTCTTCTCCCACAGCTGGTATTGACCCGTAGAGCCTGATGGTGAAGGGAGTGAGCACAATTGGTACAGTCTGAATGTACCCCCAACCTTACTACACATATTGGCATTGTACAAGCTCTTAGATGGTCATGTACCTATTCTGCCCATCTTTGCAGCACATTCAGGTTTCTTGACTCTCCCTATCCTTCACTTTGGTGAAGAGTATATGCTGATTGAGATGAGGTCTCCCACAGGTATGCCCCTATGGAGCCTCTGCCATAGGGTGTCGCATCCCATGGGCTTTCTTTTGGCACTCTTGAAAGGTGACTCGTTTAGGTAATTTTTGCACTAGTCCTTGTACCATTTCAATATGAGATTCTAGCTAATTTGTGTATGAACGTGAGTCATCGTATCAGAAATTAACATTTTTCTTACCTGAAAACATATTTCCAATAGATACTCACCTTCATGCACATTCCCACCCTTCCTCCCTAATTCCTAGTGCACTTTTCTTGTTTGCCTCATCAAAGAATGAGGACTTTTGGGTGCAAATTAGAGGGAGCATTTGTGCAAAGATGTGTGTTGCACTCCTATTGGTGGAGGGTTTTGCTGCATGATACATCATCACACAGTAGTGAATATTCACGTGTTTCACGGGAATTTTAGGTGGGAGTTTCACAAGTCTCTAAGGCAGAATAGTGTGACTTCAAGAGGAAAATAGCTAACCTATGCATGGAGAAGAGAGAGTATTTATCAGAAATACATTTTCAGGTAAGGAAAATGTTAACTTTTCTCTGTTAGAGCCACTTTCATATAACATATGTCTTTGAGTATTATTCAAGTATAAAATAACTTTTATATTTTCTATTGGAAATTAAAAACTGGTTTATTTGATAATCAAAGTTCTTTCATAATACTGATCTTATGTTTTAATAAATTGACATTTTTGATTAACATAGAAATTTTTTATTTCAGGATTTGCTTACTCTTGAAGAAGATACTATTGTGGATACAATAACTAATGCCATAGGAACAGCAATAGTGGATATCTATTTCGCTGATCAGGCAGATTTTCCCAAGTTTCAACATAAGAAAGAAGAAAAAGATTCTGACATGCTTATAGATTTAAGCTTTTCAGTGAGTTGCTTGATTATTATATAGTACTTAACAAATGTGTAAAGTTAAATTGGATTTTTAAATTAATAAGTATATTTCTTGTGGATAGTTTTTACCACCAGGTGTGTACAGTATTTTGCAATAGCTAATTACTAATGGATATTCTAAGACACGCTATCTTAATGTGGAACTTCACAGTTTTCAGGCTTATTAATCAGTTATATTCAACTAATTAATTATTTTCGCATAGTAATAATTAGAAACATTAATTTTGATTAGTTGATTATTTTTGTGATATTTATTGATTTAATGATAATTTGGATTAATGAATTATTTTATGTGACACTAATGTAATTGATGCTCATTGGTAATCGATTAATCAAGTTAATCGCCCTGCTCCAGTGTGATGATGACTTTGATTGCTGTGTATGTTAATTTCTATACTTGTACCTAGTTTTATTTTATTTTTCTATTTCTAATTTTTAGCCAAGTAAACAGCCATCAACAAGACATGAACAGCGTTTGTTGGTGAAAGTGGTTAAGGCTACTAGTCTAGGCGGTACAAAAGGTAACACTATATGTTGTACCTCGATCAAGTAAAATAGAACAGCATTATTTTCTCCAGATCACAAGTTATAAAATAAAATTGTCAATGGTTAAGAAGCAAAAATAATCCTATTTAGTTTTCTTAATTACAAATATATTTTAGAACTCTTAGATCATTAGAGCGTATAACATCGTGGCCTTGCACTGGAAAACTGGAAGAGCATTTGTATGAGGAAGTGTTAGCACAACAATTCATCCATTCATGCTGTCACTATATTTTACCAACAAAAAATTTCAGCCTTTGATCAATTTTTATTAGAAGTGAACAAAAAACGTAGATGAAGTAATGAATAGAGAAGGAATTAATACGGCTTTATGTATCCAATCAGGACTAGTGAGAACCTTTTAAGTGTTGAATATATGGTATTTTTAGTCATTAAAAACCCTTTACTAGTAATGTACTACATTTTGCACTTATTTGACGTATGAAAGGTTACCGGTTCAAATCCTGCATACGGGAAATGGAAAAACTGAAATTACCACAAGCGCATACCTGCATATCAAATTTTAAACATTTAACTAAACATAATAATTCTAACTGTATTTGAACAATATTTTTATCAGATATGTTTTAAAATTAATATGTTGTCATTTTGTACCATTAACTTGTGCAATTCATGTTGAAAAATGAAAAAAAAATCCAATGGACATTTTCCCATAGTTCCTTGGAGTCTTGCCTGTAGATAATGCATTTATTGATTTTTTTTTTGAATTTTTCTATCCATTCCAAAACATAGATTTATATTTGCTAAGAAACTATTATTTTGAGAATATAAATATCCATGGTTTGTTTCTCATGTGATTTGCCTTCCCTTTGATTTTACTTGTACAGCTTCTTGTTTCCACATATGGCCTGATGTTAGGGCACTCTACTCACAATCTGCGGGTCACGGGGTTTGGATCCCCGTCACACTGAACTTGTTTGCCCTTTTGGCTGTGGGGTGTTATAATGTGACAGTCAATCCCACTATTCATTAATAAAAGAGTAATGCCAAGAGTTGGTGGTTGGTTGTGTTGATTAGCTGCCTTCCCTCTAGTCTATCACTGCTAAATTAGGGATGGCTAGTGCAGGTAGCCCTCGTGTAGCTTTACACAAAATCATATCTTCACACCATGAAGTTCAACTTTGAAAATAATTTAAAAAATTTCGTTACCATTGGATAGAGCAGATTATAAACAGTTTATACCAATGTAAAGTAAATAAAATGTTATGATAAGTAATTTACGTATTTGTCAGTTTTTTAATGAATTGTGGTCAGAACTTGTGACTACTGCAATCGGCAAAATAAAGTATTAAAAGAAATATGTTAATAATTGTCAATCAAGTTAAAACTGACTGGAAATGGAAGGTTGTGATCAATAATAAAAACAAATGAAATTTTAAGATGAAGAGAAGTGTTTTAAGTGCCTCTCCCCAAAATGTTTGAAATATCAGGATATAAACAATGATAGAAAAAGTAAACCAAAATTATATAATTTTTTTTATTCAGAAACTGAAACTTTTTAGTAAGTTTTTACTAAGAATTCTGCAATTTGGTTAAAAGTTTCCACTATAAAGTGGAAATTAATCGGTAGGTGACCTAACCCTCTTAGTCCAGAAAGGGTCAAGCTCCTGGCCAGTATTTTACTACCTCTTGTTTTAGTTCATTATAATGGTATTACAAAGATAATTTCATCTCTGATAATTCACTTTCAATTGAAAAAATTGAAAATTTTGTGTATTAATTACTTGTGAAGAAATGTTTATGTCAAAGTTCTTCTCTAACCATTAAAATAATTTCCTTTAAATAATTAACCTTAATATTTTGTGAATAATTGAATCTTTGAATTAATTTTTTATGTAATTAAGTTGTTATAAGGCTGGCACTCTTGTTTTAGCATTGGATGGAAGTTGAAATTTTTTGTAATTTGTCAAATCTAAAACTTAAATTCACTAACCTTGGGATTTCTTAGAAAATTTTTGGACAAAATTATATGTAATTCCTTTTGATGAAGAAATAGAAATATTCATAAAAATATGCAGATAACTATTAATCACTGTAAAAATATATTTTGCCTTGAAAAAAATGACATAGTAAATTATTAACAAATTTAGAATTATAATTTTGTGGAAAGTGCCTGTAGAAAAACATGCAGCAAAAAAATGATGACTATTAATTTGTAAAACTGAAATTTGGTTATTTATATTTGTAAATATTACTGCCATATCTTTACAACATATTTTTGGATTTACATTTTGTTATGTGTAATAATTTTACCGCTGTAAGTTTGTATTCTTGTTAATCGTAATATACATGTGTTTGCTCCTGCGTGAATAGAAGCTTACTGTAAGTCGTTTATGTGTTTTTAAGCTCTCCGTAACTGTAACACACAAATGTAGACAGGGTTATAATTTAATTAATTAAAACTTTAACATATATTTATGTGCAAAATAATTTTTTTACAGGTTGTCAGGAGCCTTATTGTGTTATTGAAATGGATGAACCATCACAGAAATTTCAAACTTCATTTGCAAAGGACAGAAGCAATCCTTTCTGGGATGAAAATTTTCTTTTGTGAGCTACACTTACATTTCTAGATTGTCTGCTTGGCATGATGAGACAATTTTATTATATTCGTTGTAACTCGTTTTATCCAATTAATTAATCTTTTTTTTTTATTGTCAAAGTTTTATTGAGTTTGTGGCAAAAAACACATTAAAACATATATTCTTAATGTTTACATACTGTGCCTGGTCACAATTTTAATTCTTGATGAATGTGTAAATGTAATGTGCGAGTCTTATAGCATTTTAACTGGCTTACCTTATATATGTGTGTGTGTGTGTGTATCTATTTATATGCACAGGTCAATTTAGTGTGTAAATCCATAAAGAATGAGCTTTAGCATATCAAATTTGTGAAATAATTCATACTATTATCTCACTACAGGTCAGTTAACTATAGTTAAAAGGAGATAGCATTGTTTTTCATCCAGAGTTATTGAATTGTTACTGATAATCTTTGATAAACTTCATCAGTTATAACGTAGGCATGCATGATTGGGTTGTGCTATTAACCACTTTTTAAATTACTTTAAACGTAATTTTTGCTTGTGGCACAAAAGAACATTCTTGTAACTAAGTGCTTAATGTATTACAATTGTTCTTTTGTGTATTTGATAAAAATAAGCTGTTAACTTCATATCGGTTCTCACCAGCCCACTTAAAGTGTAGAAAGACTCGTAATGTACGTTTTTATTATCTTGTATTCAATAATACACTAGCTGCTTAAAACTCGATGCCAGTTCATAGCTGAGCCTTTCTGCAGTGCTTGGCTATTTCAAACTTTTTTAAAGGTGAATGAATATACAGACACCACACCAAATTTTATTAACTGCTGCTTAGCTAATGAAAACAAAGTGTGTTTTGTGTGTGACACCATTAAATGACTTCTGTAATTATAAGAAAATCACAAAAATACACAAGGAAAATAAAAGTTAACCATTTGGATGTCATATACAAAACCTATTTTTTTCTGAGTATTATATAAATATGTTTTTTAAGATTGTTTTCTTATACACTGGAGATCCTTATTAATTAAAAAGTCTTGTACTTAAGTAGTATTCCTGTACAAAAGAAAAAAAACAGTACATAAATCTTCTGTGCAATTTTTTTTTTTACCCAAGAAATCGTTAATATTGAAATTTACTGTAAATGATATATTTGCTCGTGAATACATGTGTGATACTGAGGTCTAGTTTAAGTAATGTCAGTTTACACTGAAAATTCTCAGTATTAACTGTAATGTTTAAACCTTAATTCAGTGGACAAGTGCGATCTAGGGTTTACTGTACTCAGACTGTGAATTCTGTGATTCATTGTTTGCAGCCTTTTACCAAAGAAATGCACTCCTCACTTTGGGGCTGGTGCACTTTTAAGAGTGTTGGTCAAATCCCACTTTTCAATCAGATAAGAGCAGCCCAAGAGATGGCTGTGGGTACTGTTGACTCTCTCTCTTTTCCCTAATCTGTTAATTCAAATTTAGGGATGGCTAGTGAAGATAGTCCTTCGTGTAGCTTTGCATGAAAATCATGAAACAAATAAACCTTATAATGGTTGGAGACGGCTTGAATGGGTAATGAAGAAAAACTTTAATATAAGTTTAACATAACAGCAAATGTACAACGTTTCGACAAGGTTTTATCATCATCGGGTACAACCTTAATCCAAGTATTTGTATTAATCAGAATAATGTTTACAAATATTTTAAAGCTTTGTATAAGGAGTTAGATCAGGAGTTATCAATAAATACAATTTTCTAAAATGTTCCTACACTCGTATAATAGATCCCTTAAATGTTCTTGTTGTGTGGATAATATATAACGATCTTGTACTATAAGTTTTCACTATATGCGTACACGAATGGTTTTATGAAACATTTACTAGTGATTTTAGTAATGAATGTTGATAAATAACCTTATTGTCAGAAGACGAGCTTATCTTTAGTCTTATATCAAATGAAATTTCAAATTAATGCGTAATCGAAGATGTATTTTGAGAAATAATATAAACTAACCATCATAGATTCAGTTATCCTTCACAATTCTTATGTTTTGTAAATATGTTATTCGTAAATGCATTTTTACGTTATACCTTCAAACTTTTGTAATTTTGTTATTTTTGCTTCAAGTGGAAGAAATTTATCCAAAAGTAATGACAGTAAAAAAAAGTGGATAATTTAAGAATTATTTGTAAATAATATATTTACTGTTGTTTGATGTTGTAGAGAGAACATTTATTCTTATTGAATTACGTTGTTCTCAAACCTTCTCCATTTCCTTTGCAGCAATGTCAGAGACAAATCTGCTGAAATTCTGTTTGAGATTTATGACCGGGGAACAGAAGATAAAGGTAATTTAGGCAAAATTTGATAGTTACTTTGATAGTTATAGCTTTTTTTCCATGGCACAGTAGTTTGTAAACAAGTTTGTGGAAACGTGGTTCGTGTATTGCATATCATTTAAGTAATATTAAAAGGCAAAAATAACAAAATTCAGTCTGTAAAGTTTCACAACACTGGTAACTAGGTCTTTTTCATTACACAAGACTTGTACTATGGTTCACTACTAACTTAATCCTGCAGTAAGGAGATAAATATGATATGATTTTATCTTTCAGACTTTTCTTGTTATATGATATTGTGAAATATGAATTGAAATCACTTCTATGCAGCTGTGTTAAAAAATCGTGTTTGAAATCTAGGTTAAGCTAATTGCATCAATAATTAATACCATGTTATAACTGTATTCCTATTGTCTATTTATGTCAACACTATTAGTAGCTATACAGATAACTATAGTTTTACAGTAGTAAAGACTGTTCTAATGATGATTTAATTGTGACTTTTTTTTTACCTTATCCAACTGTTTATTTTTTAATTAGTCAGTGTACTTGCAGTTAGGCTTTAAGCTTTTAGCTTCGTGTGAATATGGCACAGGCAAGATATGTTTAACTCGTATACATAGCACATTTAATGAGAAATTAAATATTTTAGTTGTATGTTTAGTCTTATAGATATTAAAAGTATTCTTGTACAAACTTTGTAACTGTGCTTTATATTTATTTATTTTTACATATTATTGGCAATATTATTAATCCCCCTCCTCACCAAAAATATAACGGAAAAACAAATTAACTTTTATTGAGTTATACTGTAGAGACTACATCATGATAATCTTCTTATATGTGTGTTAGTGTATGTAGAGTCTGTGGCATATGTTAACCCTCTTTCCTTATAATATCGCCCCCCAGTGGCACAG